GGACTTGTTTAATTTGCGATGGCTATAAGACATATAAGCGAAGATATCAGGAAGGTAGTTGGATATAAATCTGTAGTTCACTTTAAATCATTATAAAATTGAGGTCATTTGATGAGATATTTAGATTTCTTCTTATTAAAGGGTAGGAACAGAACTGAATTTTATAACACTCCACTACTTAGAAGTTGAGGACAGCAGGAGGAGCCAGTAAGGAAGAATAATTAAAATGCCCAAGTAGGCCTTAGGTGACCCTGAAAGAAGAATTTCAGTGGAGTAGTGAAGCAAAAACCTGTTTGGAAGGGCTATAAAGTGGAATGAGGTAAGAAAAGGAGACAGTTATGTAGAGAACTCTTTCAAGACAGTTGGATAATGAAGGATAGTCACAAAAGGTATCATGGTATTGACATTTTCTTTAATGGGGGTAGTACAGGATTCTTTCAAGATAGCTAGAAAATGTATGATTGAGAAAGGGACAGGAACTAGAGGTAATAGGATGGTTCCTGAGCCATCATCTTTGCAGTAGTCACTGTGTGGTGACTGCAAAGGCAGTAAATCTGGTATATATCCTTTTACCACATGTAACAATATTGAAAAGGCACATGTGGATCACCTTTTCATCTCCCATGCCAGCCAATAGTAAATGCTTACTAAATACTCATTGACCAAAGATAAAGAAAGAAAAGAGAAAGGAAAGGGGAGGCAGAGAGAGAAGAGAGAAAAAAATAACCAGAACGGAATCCCTTTCCTTTTCCTTGTTTTCCCTTCCATTCTCATTATAATTATACATCCTTTCTCATGGAAGTCCCCAAGAGCTCTATTAGCCTAATATTAGTTTAACAGCAGTTTTAATCCTCAAAATAATCTTGCATACATAGGTATTACTGGTCTCATTTTACAAATACAAAAACCAAGGCTCAGAGAAATTCTCAAAGTTCTTTGTTCGTCTTAGATATCTCTAATCCAATGACCCAAAATGATTCCTTTTTGCCTGCTCATCAATAAACAAACTTGACAGTTAGAATTAATCTCCAGGCAAAATAGTTGCTTAACAAATGCTTTATTGATTGAGTGACCATATGTACTTTAGCTGGTACACTGAATTTACATTTTAAGAAATGGTGAAAAATATGTGATTTATGTGAAGATACTCAACTAATGTCAGTTAAAGATAAGAAAGAACTAACCATTATATAACTGTATACTACACAGTAACAAATGTACTATTTCAAATGTGAAAGTTGCTAATACACACTGTCCATTGGATAATTGCATGGGCATGGCATTGTGATACCCTTACTATATTGTACATTAGATAGACTTGGTCTTTATTCTCAAGAAGGTTACTAAGGAGAATTAACAATATATTTCATACATTACTATTCAGTTTCCCCCTGCAGATCTGCACATTTATGTGTAGGGAAGAGTTATTGCAATTATATACTTTTTTTTCCATTTCAAAACTCAATAATTCATACAACATTCTGGATTATTTTATCATTTCAAGTAACCATGAAGACTCTCCTAAAGGTATCACTTTCCTTTATTTTTTTTCCTATCTCTCTTTCCCATGATGTGTTCAATTGGCCTATGAAAAAAATTATATAACCTAGGTAGGTAAAATTGTATGCATTTTCTAAGGGTAGTAATTAATGAATTATTCAATTTCAAATGAAGACAACAGAAACCTATCTGGACAGTCAATGGTACTGTCACATATATTGTTTCATTGTGCACAATGTACACAAAAACAATGTGTACATTAAAACTCTGTGTATTTGAAATACAGTTATGATATTTATAAAATACAATGCAAATTATTTCCATTCTTATTTTATATTTGCCTTATTATTATAAGCTCACTAGTGCTTGAATAATATAATTCAAGGTAGAAATTACTGTTCCATTTTGGGAACTTTTTCCCCCCACTAAACTCATTCTAGATACAAGCAGTTTTTTCCCCCAATTGACTCTTCTAAATTATGTTTTAATTAAAATGAAATGAAATAAATGTTTACAAATTTACAGTTTGTAAGATGTTTAATTTCTATTTCAAATATTCTGACATTTATTTTTAAATCATTGTTTTGCCTTTGATCTGCCACGTCTTTTACAATGCATTTACCATTTCATATACATTATACAAAGCAGTTTTCAGTTCTCCTCAGTTCTCAGCCAATGTTGCACAAGACTTTTGGCAGCAAAAAATAGAAATCATCTTAACTCTCTGCAGCTCATTTGGAGAGAACACTATTTAAATTGTTCCTAATGCAAGGTTGAAATTAATCTTGATTTCCCATCAAATGTACAGGGATTTTACAATATAGTTCATAACAGCATTTAATTCCTCCAGGGTACAAGTTAAGATAAACAAGTCACTGACAGTGTTTATCTATAAATATAGCAGATGGTGTGGGACTGAGGTTAGTTATCAACTCTGCCTACTTTAATTTCATGGTTATAAAACACCATAAACCTCACTGTTTATAAAAGGTGGGGAAGAAACTCCAGTGGGCTTCAGTAGCCAAGAAACTCTCAGTAACATTAATCTCTCTAACTGATATTCGGTATCCTCCTAGGGTGCAATATTTAAGATTGTGGAGTGATTGCTAGACGCATTTAAATTTTCACTGGGATCATTAGCTAGCATTTCTGTCATTGATCTATTATAACTTTGTTAGGGAGTTCCATGTGAGTGAAATTTAGTGAATGAAAGGATTCTTTCTAAACTTTGCTAGGTGAATGTTTAACAATCACTTGAGGCAGTTACATATGTAAAAGATAGCCTACTTCATCAAAATAATACTTTTTTAATGCAAAGATGAATTGTGATACCTAACTAGACCAAATGTACTTAGGGATAGAATTTCATAAAGGAAAACCATGGCATCATTTTAATAATTAATCAGTTCATGTATTTCATATACAATTATATTTAGCCAATTTTAAAAGAAGCGAAACCATTTTACTCTTCCTATTCTCAATTGATTTAAATATAAAATTTCATTGTGATCATTTTTTTCATTAAAAACCTATATGCTCAATTTGATTAAAGTTAATTCTTCCCAAAAGGACTGCAGTTACAAAAAAACAGTATTATTCGAAATTGCTCAATTTTTCCATACCATCTTTATAGAGAATAACAAAATTTATTTTATACTCACAAAAGTAAAAAAAAAATCCAAAGTTCTACCTCTATTACTTTTACATCCTGAAGAGGTTGATTTTCAGTTCCTAAGAAAGGAAGGTTTCTTAAATAAATGATAAGCCAGTATGCAAGTTGTGAACTAAAACTTCTTTAACTAAAAATGCCTTGTTTTAGAGTTCAGACTCCTTGAGAATGAGTTTTCTAATTACAAAATCCTCCTCAGTTACTTTTCTAGTCTTGTATTGGGTTGCTTCTCCCTGACCCACCCTGAGAGTTTTATTAGTGAAACTCCAATCTATCAGTCTACTGATTATTCCTAATACAGAGCTCAAAAATTTTGGCTTCCAAGAAGCTGTGTTCTGAACAGCTGCAGCCCTGGGTGGAGAGATGCTTTAATGGAACCTTTGGTAATACATTCATGTGCCACATAAGGACATTTTGATCAACGACAGACCACGCATAGAACAGTGGCCCAATAAGATTATAATACCATATTTTTTACTGTCCCTTTTGTATATTTAGATACACAAACACTATTGTGTTACAACTGCCTACAGAATTCAATAGAGTAACATTCTATACAGGTCTGTAGCCTAGTAGAAGTAGGATATACCATAGAGCCTACATGTATGGTAGGCTATACTATTTAGGTTTGTGTAAGTATGCATAATAATGTTCACACAAAAACCCAATTGCCTAACTATATATTTCTCAGCACATACCCCATCATTAAGTGATGCATGACTATATATCTTCTCATCTCCCTTCCTTTCTACTCGGAGCCTCTTATCATCAGATGTAATATCCCACCATTCAATACATTCATTTCTGTAAACAACTGTCTGCTTATATGTAGATATCTAGGTCTTAAAATACATGAAACATCTATAACAAAGGACAGGAAAGCCTTTCTTAGGTGGAGTCTTTACTTCATTTCCCTTTTTTATTTTCTTTTAATGCTTCAAAACTGACCTTAATCTTCATCATCAAAAAATTGGTTATTGGATGATTGGTATGTTTGACATTCGTATTTGTGTCAAAGTAAGTCCAAACTAGGAGTGATTTCACTTTAAAGTTATCAATAAAAATCCCCTAAAATAGGTCTATCAATTAATTATAACTATTGCATCATCTTTTTGTCTTTAAAGTGGGAAAGGCAGAAAAAAAGACCATGTCCTCAAGGGGAAAGAGTCCTTTTTAAAACCTGGCCACTATGAAGCATGTTTTCTAGAGTCATGAGGCTGCTGGAAATTGATGAGAGTGACCAGGAGTAGCTCTGTGGTGGGACAAAAATAGGTAACAACAGTTGAAAGTGAACTAGTTAGGGTGGCGGGTAGGGAAGAGGAAGGGAGACAGGATAGGGGAAATAAGCAAAGCTGGTCATTCCAGTGACTGAGTGAAGAGGTACACAGAATATTTGGTTTAGGGACTCTCCTTTAGAGGATTCATATATACCGTGGGTCTTAGGGAAATGAGATCCTTAAAAGCACATTAAAACAATCACTCTTATAAAAAAAGGGATCTTTTTTCAATTGCCCAATGGGTGTCCTAAAATGACTTTCTTTTATTTTCCCAGTCTATATATAAGATATGAGTTATCTTATACAACATCATATTTTTTATAAACATGATTTGCAGAGCAAAAGTTTCTAAAGGGACATTACCTGATTTAAAGTGGAAAAACAAGCCGTTAAAATTTGTGTTCCTGCTTTCACCCAAATCTATCAAATTTATTACAACAATGTCATAGAAATAACTTGGTGCCTTATAATACAAAACAAGTTACAACCCAGGGAATAAAAATAATTGGTAATATTTAAATACTTTAATCTCATTTTTTATTATTTTCTTCCAGATTATTCGACCCTGTCTAATGTCAAAGGCATTGCATTGTATAAAAGAAAACATGCAAGGGAAATCACATTGACTGGATTTCATTCCCCCTTCAATGGTCAGTTAAAAATCAAGCCTTTATAATGTTTTTATTATGGAGTCCCTCTAAAACTCCAGTGACTTTTTTTCTTAATCTTTTGCTCCTAGGAGAAGTAATCTATGCTATCATGTGCATGACAGTCACCTGTGGAATCCTTCTTTTGGTTATGGTCAAGCTAAGGTAACTGGACATAACTCAAAGGGGAAGGGCTAGAGGGGAATCACTGAGCATTGGTAAAGCACGTTTCACAATGGCTGAGCTTACCAAGGGGCTGAGAATGAAAGCTTCTCTAAGACATGCTAAATCAACTTTTATGTGGCATAAGTCTGTGAAACTGTTACTCTCAGTCTTCATATGTAAGGGAAATGTGATCATAGGAGATTTTTTATGTTGCATTTTACAAGCACATATGCATGGTATGTTCCCTCCCATTAAACTGTTATCAATCATTTCCCCTGGATTTCCTACAAAGTGCAAATTGAACTTTGCTGCGTTCCTCATTCCAATCATTTGCACCATCGAAAAGCTTATGTAACCAACCTATTGTACGCTTCATACAATTCGTACAATTCATACAGTTTATATTTACCCGAAGATTTAGTCTTCACTCTAATTTCTTACATGCTAATGAATTTTCTTCATGTTTTAGTATGGAATTATTGAAAGAGACATTTAAGAAGGCCTTACAGAGCCCCCACTGCAAGACATTACCATTGCCTGACATTAATTTACTCTTTCCAAACCTTCTCGGCTGCCTTCATTGCTGGAATGCAATAATACTCCAGCAGGCACGTGAGACTTTAACCTTAGAGACACATCAATCTCTAGATTTCTAAGTGTCTAGGGTATAACATTTTCCCACTTATTTAACATTTACAAGTAGATGTGAAACAGTACGCACTTGCTCACCTTTAACTTAAAAAAATTAACATCACATTTAATCATCAATCCTGTTCATTTGCTTATTCATTTTACATACGTGCGTAATTTGAGTATCCTATATGTTAATGAAGAAATATGTATGTAAGTATGCACGCACATGTGCACACATATAAACTGCATTTTTCAGTAATATTAGGACAGCAGAAGAGCAGAAGCAGTAGATGTTTCTCTTATTTCATGACTTCTGACACCTAGAGAGAAGACTGGCACAGTCGGCTATGCAATGCATGAACAACATACTGCTCCTCCAAAAATCTCAGACTTAAAGGCCTTGACAACCAGTCGAATAAAATAAAAGACTGAAGTTGGGAGGTGTATGGCCATACAAGGAAGGGGTTGGGTACATGATGAGTGTATACACTCTGCCTAAGGACACTCAAATTTATCTGTTTTTAAATGCAATGCCAGCTAAACAAAACACATCCGCTCGTTGGATCCAATCCCTCTAAACATTTAATTTGATGTTTACCAAAACCAGTATCAAAACAAACTGCTTTTCTCCAAGGCCTTAAAAGTGATATTTGTATGAGAAGATATTCCATGGGTTCCAAGATAAGATTTGAAGGCCAAATAATTAAAGTCCCTTTCTAAGGGGAAAAAAATAGCATTTGGAATTTATTAAACTTTGTTTGCTTTAAAATATTTGAGAGCACTCATTAGTTACTGTGCCTGCCTAGATATTCTATGACAAACATATTTTTTTCACAGAAACACAGATGGTCTTCTGGCCTGGCAAAAATCTTATTTTATTGGTTCTCAATCTTTACTTCTTAGCCACACATACAACGTATAAAGTTTACATCTGTTAATTGGGCCCCTGAGGTTTTCCAGATTACTTTGTGCTATAGATAAATAAGGTGTACGGTCTTCCTAATTCCCTATGTATCAGCTGTAACTCTGCCTCATTTCTTGCCTATATAGAAGGCATATCCCTTTTCTGGACACCTTAGGAAACGTTACCATTATAGGTAAAAATTTTGATCTTTTTCCAATATGTATTTTAAAGCAAATTATTCATATTAATAAGTACATTATACCTAGTTACAAATTATTTTCCATGCAATTTAAAATTGATTATGATGCTTAATCTGAAAGTTCCAGATCTAGGATTAGGGAAATGACAAAAGTCACAGCCATCATGGGAAGAAAAAAAACAACAAAAGCACCATCCACAACAAAACCTTGGTTACCTCACTTCTAGACGTAAATAATGCTCCTGAATGAAAGTAGGCTGATTGCCATTGCAGGCATTGTTTACTGACCTAGTGGTCAGGTTTAATCCATGTGAATATTCATCTTCAGTAAAGATTAAGATATTTGCATTTGTTTCATTTTATGCTAAATGCCAAGAGCCCTAAATCTTCAAAGAAGTTTTCAGAGAAACAAATAATTAATAACTTAAGTGTTTGAGAAAAGAAAGGACTCTTTTTTTTTTCTTTTAATGATTACTTGGAAATCACAGTTAAACACATGACACTTTTTAAAGAGCCTATAGAATATTTCACTATTGGGACTTTACATTCATGAACTTGATTATTTTTTCCCTTTGGGCACAGACTTCATCCAAAAATATAAACATTCACAAGCACAGTTGTAAAATCCTTAAATTGGCATATTGTTAACTTTTACTTCTATTTTTATATAGAACCTCCAGAATATCAAATCAAACAAGAGACCCTTCACCAATCCAAATACATGGAGAACTTGTGATTCATTAAGAGTCGAAGATCATTAACAATCACTTTCTTTAAAACAAGTCGTTGCAGCCAGTCAACAGAATATCCTATTTGTCATGAAGAAGGAAAATGTTAAGATGGATTTAATAATATGGGATCATTAAGCATAATAATAATGTAGGGTATCATAACATGGCATGATGTTAGATTTATTTCTTCTTAAGAAATACACTTTGGTATCTTTTACAACATTGGTACAGAATTAATGTTTCCTTTGAAGGCAAAAACTGTTATCCCAAATTACATTTTGCATGATTTACTCTCATAATAAACATGAATTTGTGTGATATTAATTAGTTGCAATCATAATATGATATATTAGCGATAGCAGGGTTCTTTCTTGATTAATTTTACAAATTCCCATCATCTTGACAAAAAGGAAATGTTAATCAAAAGATACAGTATATTTATTTGTATATTCTCATCTATTTTTCAAATCACTAGTTAAAGCATTAGCATTGACTTTATGTTACTAAATATATTTGGTTAGATGATGAGCCTTAAAAATCAGAAGTGATATTTTGAATTTTTATAATTTAAATAGTGTCAAATTTTACTTTAACTTCATTTAATTCCCCTTAAAGATGGAAAACAACCACACTGGCTGAAAAAAGTTAATGTGCATTTCAATAATGATATATTTTATTTATGAATTTAATTTTTCTGAGCTTATTATTATGAACTTCTACAATAATACAGTAATAGCATAATTGTTACTTTTAGTTTCTATACTGTGACTTTTGGCCTGATTTGACATCAAAGTATAATTATGATTAGAAAATTATAGAAAAGATGCTTATTAGTTATGTTTTTGAGACCTCTGTGCTTTTTAATTGTCTACAATCATACTGGTACACATTTCTCAGAATAACCACAAGACTGTGTATCTATAGTGGCACACAGGCACAAATATTCAATAATCTGATACTGTGCCAATAATTAGTCACATATTTGCTATTAAAGGCCAAATATTTTTTGCTTGTTTGGTCTCATTTCTATTGCTGTTCACTACATTTTGGAATAAATTGTCTGTATTAAATTAAATTTGAAGTTAACATTTGGCTGTGTTTACTCAGAGTCATTGAAAAGCCATCCTTTATCTTTTAAAACAAGGAAGAAGAATAATTTGATGAGTCACAGATGTCCCTCAAGGAGGTCTACATATCTCAGTGGCTGTGCAGAGAGCTAACGGGAAGAGAATGTAGGATTTCCAGCTTGAAGTCGGTGCCATTTAATGTAGACTGGGTCATTTCTGGGAAAATGCAAACTGTTCTCTGGAAAACCGAGGAAGGAAGTCAAGTTGCTTTTAGAAATACGCTTGTGTTGAGCAGAAAAGGAGAGGGCAGAGTGTAAAATAGATGGCCTCCCTATAAAAACCGAATCTTTTCTCCTAGGACAGCAAGAATGAGTCTGCAGATGGAAGCAGCATCGAGCCTTTAGGGAACTCTAAATAGTCACCTGTCTCTAGAGCAAGGAGTTCAAACTGAGAAAATGCAGGACAGAAAGCAGATAAACATCAGGACGGATACACTAAGGGTCCTCAAATACCAGGCTAAGGAGACAACTGCTGTAAACGTGGATTGTCAGTCCCCTCAGCACATGATTCCCATCTTCACCCTCATCTTTTTTGCTTCTGTCCTCTGGAAGCCTTTCCTAACATTTCCTTTGCTGCCCAGGGTCAGGTTCCCTTGCTCAGTGCTCCCCTGCTACACAGTGTTCCCCTATGTTGGACTACTATAACTCATTGTCGTGGGTTCCTCATTTACTGTTTTCTTCTGTAAACTGTAAGCATCCTGATTGAGCGTCTCAATTGCAAGCTCATCTCTGCTTACCATTCTTTAGCACATAGTGCATGCTTAACAACTAATTGTTCAATAAATGAACTGCTACATTTGGAAGGCAACAAACGGCCCAAGATAATTTTAAACAGGGAAGTGGTATTATCAAATTTTTGAATTTTAAAAAAGGTGTGTTAGCAGACATATAAGTGATGGACAAGAGAGGGCTAAAACTGATGTTGAAGAGACTGCTTTAAAATGTCCGGCAAAGATTAGGTAATTAATATTGAAAGCCAGTACCAATTCATTTGTTCAAAACTTATTTGAGCATATACTATGTATCAGCCACTGTGCCAGGACCGCGAGGCACAATTCTGAACAAAAAATCCTCTTGGAAATTTGAAAAAGGAAGATGTAAACAAGGTAATTTTTTACAGTGATAGATACTATTAAGAAATGAATAGGCTAGCGTGACAGAGTGATTTGAAAAGAAAAATTAGCAGTGATGCAAGAGCATGGCATGCAGCTCCTAAAGATTTCCTAAGTGGAATGGGTGGGAACTTGGGATCAGATATTTGCAGGGAGTTGAGATTATAAGGATCACAGCATGAATGAGTGTCAAGAGTAGTGATGGGACTCAGAAAACAGTAGCCCAAAATGAAAGACTCAGAAGCAAAATGTTCTTCTCTGATAGTCCCCTGTCCACCTGCCTCTCAGTCCCATCTTTCCCCAAAGCTAGGCATAGAGACCATAATAGAATCCCTCTTCCCCAAGGTGGGTTTTAAAGGCCAGAAGCTGGCCCTCAAAGGCAGCCATAAAACCTAAAAATATTCGATGTAATAACTGTCCATAAAGTAATTATCTGACCTACTTTATTTGACTGTAAGACCCCCCATTCCAGTAAGAGCTCTGCCCCACCCTCAGAGGAAGGAATGTAGACTCAGAGAGGCCAAGAAGAATCTTGACAGACAGGCCTTGCTGGGTTCCGCCACTCAGCCTGTTAGCATTAGATCACACCCTTTTTGCCCAATCACATTTCTACAGAGCTGTCCATACTTTGTTGAGCCTAAGCATAAAGGTGCGCAATTTCCCCTCTATATTTGGGTTTTCATTTTGAAGTCTCGTGTGTAGACCCATTAAAATAAATTTGGGATGTTTTCCTTCCATTAATCAATCTGCCTCAGGTCAGTGATTTTTTCAGCAAATCTTTATGGGGTCAGGGGCCTTTGATCCCTACAGTTTGGTGAACCTTTGGGGTGTCATCAGCCTTTTACATGCTGTATACCCACTTACATGCTGTATGCTTTTGGTTTGCACCATTAGGTAAACCATGGTGCCATTTAGAAAATTGGCTCATAGAGGAGGAGAATGAACTTGGAATGGGAAAGGGCAATATGCCAGTTGTCTTCATGTATGTTCCCATATTTCTCCACTTTTCATGCACCCCACGAGGCTTATTTATATGCAAAAGAGTCTCCCCTGTCCTCTGGCTGCCAGTAGGGTTCAGTCAATGGTGAGAAACGGCAGAAAATAGGGGAGAGATTTCCCTGGATCCTTCCCTGAGATGTCACTGTGGGCTGTTTTCTTTAACTGTTTCTATCAGTGTCACCTTTTCTATGTGAATCTCTCCTTCCAGATTCCACTAAGCCTTTCCTCTTCTTTTCCCTGCAGGATAATGGTGCTAATAGCTCAGTCAATACTAGTCCTGAGTTCCCGTACTATGCTTTGAGGTTTGCCTACAACTACCCACACCTGGATAAAGACTTCCTAAATCAAACATTCTTGAGTCATTCAATTAAGATAACTTGCACTTTATCCTAATTGGAGTATACCATCTGTTTCCTGTTGGTTCCCTGATTGATATTGGTAATTATTTAAGGTTTAACCAATTGACTTTCTAACATCAGTGAATATTCATGCCAGTTACTCTAGTAGTCAACTGAAATAATATAGTTCTGGTACTACTAAGTGAAATCTGAGCTACAGTCATTACATTTTAAGTTTCAGTAAATTCCTACATCTCTCCATCCCAGATGAGAAAGCGAGTTTACCACCAGAGACTTCCATGTGATTTCTGGGGAAAAACCACTGGGAGTTGGGTGAGCAGGGTGGCTAGATGGCCAGGTGGCAGAGATCACAGATCTCTCTGCAGAAGAATTTGACCACTCATGAAATCCCTCCCTAGTGGATGAGTAGCCCACTGATGAGCTTTTGTGATCCTTCTGCATATTTACCCACAGCCTCTTTTCCTACACAGAATTCTTTCCATAAAGTCTGAGGCATTCCTGGGACCTGGAGTCAGCAGAGTTGTACCAGCTGGAGCTCAGTGGGTCAATCAGGAAGGTCTCTCAGGAGAGACTTTAGGGAAAAAAGAAAACAGGGACTTAGTGTTCCTCCAAAGCCGGGACTTGAGTCTGTTCTTATTCTTCAATTCCCTGTGAGAGCCCCGAGAAGCAGACTTGAGGGTTATTCAAACATGCATCCCTTTCATTGCCATGTATGGTAAAATGAATACAAATGACTTGAGTGAAGAGAAGATCTCTTTTTTAGAAGTCACAATGGTGAGCTCAATAAACCCAGAAATAAAACTGAAGGATGATGGTCAAAACGAAGACACTCCTGCTTTTACATAGCCTGTTCCGCCTGCTCTGCACTTTCACACCTGTTCCCCTCAGAACTCAGATGAATACCCTCTGGGCTGCGATGATTTACTGCATTTGAGTTTCTCAAGTTTCCCAAAGTGCCCTTTGAGGCTTCAGAGTTTATTCAGACCCTGATTGCACCCAAAAACTTAGGGCCATATAATATTAGTGTTTCTGAAGCCTCCTTAGCCAAGTGAGTGCAATAAATGTATCTTTAATCAGAGGTTTCCTAACACAGTTGTCTATAATCTGCGTTCTAGACATAAAGAAATAGATTTAAACTGTACATTTGACTTTCTAATATGTAATTATAATTACTCAAATCACCTGGTATGTTTGAGCTTTGTGTCAAAAATCCAAAATATTTAATACAGTTGGTATTTTCACCATCAACTAATTAGGTACAAGAAAGCTAGATTTTACCGCAGCTGGGGTTTTCTAGGTGAATTCAATGGAGGGAAGAAGCAACAGCAACAGAACTTAATTACAAATGTATCATTTAATGTTGAGTTGTTCTGGTAATGATGGGAAGACAGCAAATAAATCATGTACAGTTAAAGATCCTTGGGTCAAAGCATAGTGGTCTCACTGGAAATCAAGAGTTCTTGGCAGGA